TATTTAAGTCAATCTAGGCGGCTGTAGCATAATACTAGCATTTCTAGCCAGAATGATCTTATCGCCCACTTGGCCATGAGTCGTTGTCTGTTATTCAGGTTGTTCCTAATGTCATAGCGCGTGCGTGCACTGGTTCAGGTTTGGGTGAGTAGAGGTTTTTGTTCAAGTGTGGACGAACTTAAGAATAAGTGAGATCCAGTTCAAGGTGCATGATGCGAACCACCGTAAGAGTCCATCCTCAGGTTCAACTTCAACAACCTCACAAATTTAGGGCCAGATGCAATTGCTCCTACAATGAGGTTACGATTGCATCCGTAAAAGTCACCGGACACGATTTAGATAATATGATGTTGAAGTAATTCATCGCATTGAAATTTTGGTTTTCATTGGTAAAAATTGATCTAGTGGGGAAATAGTGATCAATTTTGTTTTTTGTATTTTTTTTTTCATTCTTGCCCTTCACATTATAATATAAAGACAACAATATTTCAATAATTTAACAAATAAATTTTTATTATTTTTACTATTATTTTTATTAATTTGTAATTATGTATTAATAAACGTATTATTTTATTTAAATATAATTTAATAATTTTTACTTTAATATTTTTAATAATTATTTTTTTTACTATAATTCATCTTACCATTATTTTTACTTTTATATTCAAACATATATTTAATTATTAATTTTAATTTAACTATTTCAATAATTAATTTTTTTGTTATAATAACTAATATCGCATTCACTATTATTTTTAATTTCATGGAAATTAATATTATTATCCATCTAAATAAATTATTAGAAATTGAGTCTTCGACCATCACATTTACTCTTTCGTTTTTTCTTAAATTTGTGTATGTACAACAAAATCTTATCTTACGCAATAATGCATAGTTATATCTTCAGATAAATTTATTTAAGAAAAATAATCTCATATAAAACTTTAAAACTTGGAGAAAGAGTTTATATAATAATTAATTGACACATATTAGTATATTATTGAAATTTATAAACATATGACAGTTGTCAGATACGCCAACGTTTATCAATTGCATGATTTCCGGTGGAAGTTGAGTGGAAATGTATAACTCTCTTGAAAATGCTGAGATTCTAAATTTGAGTAAAGGGGTAGGATATTTTAAAATAAATATAAACTATCAACTCGTTGATGAACAGATTTAAAAGTTTAAAATGTTTTTAAAATAAATATCTATTATACCAAAAAAAATATCTATAAATTATTGAAATCCTTTTTCAATCCTTCTGTTTGAATTAATTTATCTTTATTTTTTAAAATAAGTGACAAAGTTTTATTTCAAAATCTCATAAATAAGTAGAACAAATTATTTTAAAGATATAACGTTTAATTAATTTAAAATTCTAATATCAAATATCTATAATCAATTCTTTTATTTTAAATTGTAAATTTTTTTTATTTCTAAAAAAAGTTTAATTATGAGTTGACTTATTTTTTATGGTACAAAAATCATTGTTGAAAGTTTTACTCCTGTCTCCAAATATTTGTTATGTATTAAGTTTCACAGAATTTAAAATATAATTTTTTATTTGAATGTATTTAATATTAAAATTTAAAATTTTTTATAAAAATTAAAATTTCATAATTTTTAATGTCAAAAAATAAAAAAAAACATAAAAAATAATTGTAAAATATAAAAAATAATAATTTTAGATGTAAAAAAAATAAAATATAATTTTAGAATATCTCAAAAAAAAAAAAAAAAACAAAAAACAAAGAAAGTAAAACAGAAAGAGTAACAATCATCAATTACACTAAAAACAATATAAAAGTAAGTTTTAGTGTTATGGGTCGAGACTTAAGCTTTAAATTCGCACGATTTCGGATTCATCCGACATATCAAATTGACCTACTTATCACGGTTCACATTTTTATGAGATATTATTCACTCTGATTCTCTGACCTCACGATTTTATTTTACAAAATCACAAAAAAAGATGGTGTGAACCATTTTATATCTAACTAACTTTCCTTTTATATTTGATGTAAGATTCAAAACTTCTCTTTAAATCCGTGATATTAGCATCCTAATGATCCATCTCTTCTAGAGTCCTTGGTATTTTATGCTTTCAAGAGTTTCTTTCTCTCCAAATATAATTATTAAATTTAATTTTGAAAATTTTTGAAAGCAATTCAATTCGTTCTCCTTTTGAATTACTTATCTACGTTTGCACTAGTAGATATTAAAATAAAAATATTTATCAAACGGAACGCAAACTGTTAATCTTGGATATATGATTTTCGAAGGTTAAGCACTCGTGCAAATCAAGCCCCAACAAGATTGGTGTTGGCTTGCCGATTGGGTGATTCAACCCACTCGTTTCGACATTTATATTAACAATTATCGAAACGTTTATACCAATGGGTTAAATTCTTAAATGGAACTAGGAAGATTCTCAATGGGCTTTAGTTTGTAATTTGGGTCTTGAGTCTTTTGTAGGCCTAAATCTTTTTTGAAGCAAGCCTGGGTCTACTAAAAACTCAATCACTGGAACTTAACAAACAGACAAAAGTTGAATTTAGAGTTTAATTTAATTAATTTATATAATTATTTAAAAAAATAATATTTAATAAATTTAAAGTTTAAATTTTAATATTTCAAACTTATTTTCTTATTTTGATCTTCTTTAAAATAGGCAAATATGACCAAAAATATTTGTAGATTATATTTAAGTCTAATTTCTTTTTCGAACAATCTTTAAAATGTAATTTCTCATATTGATTTAATGCATTTAGAAATTTTCATACCAATTTAATGTATTTAAAATTTTATTCTCAAAATATTTTTTGTGATCGAGCCTTAATTGGTAAAAAGATGAAACTCCTCCCTTTACCAACATAACAAAAAATAATAATAATAAAGATCTTATACTAATATTTTTATTATTGTACAAAAAAGAGTGACTGAAATTTTATTTTCCCAAAAAGATGATTGTTTGAGAAAACATCCTAATAATTTGGATTTTAGATTTTATACTTCAAGATTGACGAGGGAAAGTTTATAAAATATAGAAGAAAACTACCATAGAATATTGTTGCTTGCATGATATAATCTCCAATAATTGCAGCCTATGGTTTTCAATAAAATCTTATATTTTGCACTCAAAAAAGGTTATTTTGATTTTTGAGTCGAGAGTGCTTCTTAATGCTTCACTCCTCCCCTTTTGCAATATCCTTTGAATTACACAAAATCAATCAAAATATTAATTCTTAAGTTAGTGTTTGATATCTTTTGTAAAATTATTATGGTATTGTAATAATCGAAATAATTTTATTATTAAAGTGATTTTATCACTAATAATTTAAAATTATTTTATTTAATTAATAATCATTAATTCTTAAAAATTAAATATCTTTGATGTGATATTATTAAAAATAAAATATTATTTTGTTTAATAATACAAAAATAACCATGCCTAATATAGTAGTTACGCAAATTATAAAATATTAGTATTATTTTATTTATTTTATAATAAAAATATAACTAAATTAATAAATTAATAAATATATTTATTGAAAGATAAACTAATTTTTATAATATAAATTATGTAAAAATTTTGAATTAAAAAATAAAACTAATTTATTAAATTCATAATAAAAAATAAAAAGATTGTATTACATATAAAATATAAAAAAAAAAATGCACAAATTATTTGGCAATTTATTACAGTGAGTATTAGTTTGAAAATATAAAAATTTATAATATAAAATAATTACAATTACAAGAAGAAGTAAAATTTTAATTTATATATTAAATGAATAATATTGATTATTATTAATTTTACATATCATTTTACTTTAATAATAAAATTTATCACCCTTTTAGATATGAATTAAATCATCCTTCAATAGTGATTTGATCATTTTCCATGATCTAAAATTATTGTGCATGTAAGATCACTAATTACTTACTAAACACAATAATTTAATTATTATGTATAAATCATCATAAATTTTGAAATGATTACTCCATACTAAACATTTCCCAAGTGAAGAGAATGTTCATACATATTTTTGTAGCTTGTAAAGTATACTAAAATAATTTCTTGACAACTACTATAATTAGACAAAACCTATTTATCAATCGAATCTTGAACATGAGTTTTAAAGTTTAGATTCAATCTAACTTAAATCTGTATTTAACGAATAAAAATTATTTTTTATTTAAATTTAATTCAAATTACATATAAAATATAATAAAAAATAATTTTTTGTATTATAATATTTTTATTAATAATTGAGTTTATTTAAACTTAACGGTTAAACTGAATCGAGTTTTAAATAAAAAAAATTTAAAAATCAATTAAATCTATTTTGATTCAATCCAATTCACAAATAAATAGATAATTAAAAAAATCATGTGAAGATGACAGCTGTCTAGAATGATAGAGATGATTTTGTCTTTTTACAGTAATGCAACGTTTCCAGGCTCACCTCAACCCCACGGCCAAAAACCAGCTTCTAAGAACAGTGACGGGTCTCCATAACATTGCTAAAAGCTGAAAGAAAAAAAAAAGATAATAATTATAATTCAATAACATTTAAGGAGTAATAATAAGATTATCATTTTTATTATAATTCAATAATGTTATATTGATCAGCGTAAGAAATAAATAATTATATAGTTATTATGAATATCAATAATGATTGGTGTAATTGCTTCATAATTCATGCATACTGAATAAAAAAAAAAAATTCTAATTAAAAAAATTCCATGTCATATTTCCCACCCCATGTCGGCTACTTCTCTTTACGTACCTTCATGAGCACGAGCCTTTCCCATTATTCACGACCACGTGTCACATCCTCATTTATCATCCTCTGCTTCAAACTATCTACGAAGCAGCCTTTCCTCATCTCCAACATCCCACGTGCCCATCCGCCAACCCATCGAATAATCTTCATACACGTATCCCACTCTAACTCCCGTCCTCCTTCGTTTTATATGGAGCCTAACAGCCTCCATAGCAGAAACTCTAATCCAAAAATACATCCAAACACAGAAGTCAAAACAAAGCTTTTTGTTTCTATCTCCTTTATTTTTAGATTTTTTTTTGTTTAGTTTTTGTTAAATGATCCAAAAATCGAACGGGTCGAGTCGCCGGATTCCTAACCCGGCGATACATCCTTGCGACTGCATTTCTCCTATAACTCTTCTAACCTCGCTAATCGATCTTGGTCGAGACATTTGCAGTTACAAATCAAAGTTTTTCTCCGTCAACAAGAGAAACGCGCGCCAAACGTTTCGTAAAATCACGAACCTTCTTCTTTTCCTCCAGGAGTTCCGTAATGCCATGTCGGATCCACCTGACTCGGTAGTCCTCTGCTTGTCGGAGCTCCATCTGACTTTCCAAAAGTTCCGATACCTTCTGGAAGCCTGCATTCGCGACGGCGCTCGTGCATGGATGCTGGTGAATTCAGACCGAGTTGCGAACCAGTTCCGGATCCTGATCCAGGGCATAGCAACTGGTCTAGATGTTTTCCCGCTTTCAACCGTTGACTTGTCAAATGAAGCCAAGGAGTTGGTTGAATTAATCATACGGCAAGCTAGAAAAGCAACTTTCGAATCCGACACGGAAGATAAAAAAGCCGTGAAAGATCTCATGCGGATCCTGAACCATTTCGAGAAAGAAACCGTTCCCAACCCGGTTGAAATCAAACGGATCTTGGATCATCTTGGGATTCACACATGGAGCGATTGTGATAAGGAAGTGAAATTCTTGGATTCAGAAGTCGAAATCGAATTTTCCAATGGAGAAAAAAAAAGAGAATTAGAGCTTTTGAATAGCTTAATGGGATTCATGAGCTATTGCAGATGCGTAATCTTTGACACCGTTTACTTTGAAAGTCATCGTCTCAATGGCCAATTTAACAGCAGCAAAGCTCTTAAAGGAATCAACAGTGACGATCTCAAGTGTCCGATCTCGTTAGAAATGATGTCTGATCCAGTGACTTTATCAACGGGGCATACCTATGATCGTCGTTCGATTTTAAAATGGTTCAATTCAGGGAATACCACCTGTCCCAAGACGGGCGAGAAGCTTACCAGTACGGCACTGGTTCCGAATCTTGTCTTAAAAGGGATGATCCAACAATATTGTGCTGAAAACGGCGTCGCAGTTGTCGTGTCCAGCCGAAAGAATCGGGATATTTCGAGGACAGTCATGGCGGGGAGTTTGGCGGGAGAAGGAGCTGTGAAGATGTTAGCTGGGTTTCTGGTTAACAAACTTGTTAACGGAAGTGTTGAAGAGATGAACAAGGTGGCTTTTGAGATTCGGGTTCTGACAAAAACAAGCATTTTTAACAGGTCTTGTTTGGTGGAAGCCGGCGTGGTCCCGCACTTGTTGAAGCTGTTGTCGTGTAAAGATTCTAACACCCAAGAAAACTCCACCGCTGCCCTATTGAATCTTTCCAAGCATTCGAAAGGCAAAGTTGTTATAGTGGAGAGTGAAGGGTTGGATTTGATCGTCCATGTTTTAAGAAAGGGACTTAAGATTGAAGCTCAACAACACGCGGCTGCTACCTTGTTTTACCTGGCTTCGGTTGAGGAGAACAGGATTTTGATTGGTGAAAATCCCGAGGCTATTCCAGGGTTAGTGGAGTTGGTTAAGAACGGAAATGATCGTAGCAGAAGGAATGCATTGGTTGCAATTTTTGGAATTCTAATGCATCCCGGGAATCACTGGAAGGTTCTTGCCGCTGGAGTTGTTCCTTTGTTGCTGAATCTTTTGAAAGATTCGGAAAGGGAGGATCTTGTAACGGATTCTCTAGCAGTTTTAGCTACTCTAGCAGAGAAAGTTGATGGAACGGTTGCAATTTTACGTCGCGGAGCCTTGCAATTGTTAGTGGAGATTTTAAATACATCCATTTCAAGGACAGGGAAGGAGTACTGCGTTTCCTTGTTGTTGGCTCTCTGTGTAAATGGCGGTCTAGATGTGGTTGCTTGTTTGGTAAAGTGTCCTTCTCTTATGGGATCATTGTATTCACAAATTAGTGAAGGTACATCTCGAGCTAGCAAAAAGGCCAGTGCAATCATCAGGATTCTGCATGAGTTGAGTTTTATGAAAAGGGCTCCTCAGCTTCGGTGACTCCAGTTCTTCGTCTTCCACGAGAAAGATTCGTCCACGTATGGTAATTGGAACCCAATTTTTTTTCGGGTATCAATTTATTGGTTTTTTTGTTAGTTCATTCCTGCAATATTTCCATGTAAATACACGCAAGTGTATATATTGCTTGCTATCTTTATTAGCTCGATCTCTTGAAGAGCTAATCCGCTCAGCTTCTGCCTTTTTTCATGAAGCTGCGTGTAAACAAAATTGTTGCGTTGTAATTGTATTTACAGATTGTTGATATAAAACTCATTTCTAATATCAATGAAAATAATCCTGCTTGCACCGAGTCGGCGAGAAAATGTACGTGTAAAGTCCAGAACCCCTTGTCGCTCGATAAAAAAACCTCATTCCTCATAAGTTGTAGTATCATGTATAAACATCTTCAGTTGTGTTGTACTTTTCCCATGTTAGTAATAAGATTGCGGTAACAGTTCAGCTAAAATAAGTTCTATAAATATGACGATTTATGTCTATTGTAATTCCCTTTTAGAACTTTAGTACATGATTGATCCACGGGATGCAACTGGCTTTGCTTGTGTTGAGAAATTAAGTGCTTTTTGCAGTCTCAACGCCACTTGCTCCATAGATGGCCTTTCCTGCTTTAGCCCTGTGCATGACAAAGCTAGCTTGAGTACAAGGTCAAAAGCTTCTAACGAGTATTCCCCATTAAGTTTCGGGTCTGCAAATTTGGCTGTGTCACCCCCTCTAGTAGATTTTTTGCCTGAGAAGTAACAGAAAAATGCATTAGGGATCTTAGTGATCAAAAGGATGGACATCTATTATAAGCTTTATGGAAGTTGTTGGTTACCATTTTACTTGGAGGCAATGGTCTGTGCAGATTCAGATTAAGCACCCTCTCCCCTGACAAAAGTTGTAGAAGTACCATACCAAAACTGTAAACATGACCAGAGTCATTCACTCGGTGGTTTCTACGGTACTCAGGGTCAACATAACCAAATGTTCCTCTGAATTCTGAGTTCACATGGGATTGACCTATGTCCGTAACTTTAGACAATCCGAAATCTGCGAGTTTTGCTTGAAACTTGTCATTAATAAGGATATTTGTTGGCTGCCAAAACACCATCATATGCAAAATCAGAGAAGACAAATGATTGAAAGCAGTAAGGAAATAGTGGATTCCTTGGTCTTGAACGTACCTTGATATCGCGATGAACAATGCAGCTTCTTGATAAGTGTGGAGAAACCAGAGGCCCCTTGCTCTGTCAATTGCAATCTTGAGTCTTTGGATCCATGAAAGAACTTTATCCTTTCCTGCTCAAAACCTTTGTGTGAGTGGTTTTTCATGTAAAAAAAGAAGTAAATGATATTAATTTCACATACCATAAAGCCACTCAGAGAGGTTCCCATGGTGGCACTGTTCATAGACTAGGAAGCATTCATCTTCATTCTCACAATAGCCAAGCAAAGCTACAAGGTTTGGATGCGTGATATGAGATAGGCTTCTTACTTCCCTGACAAAAGTTTCTATCTGTCCATCATTGACTATGTGCTTAACCGCAACACGTAGACCATTTGAGAGAGTACCCTCGTACACTTTTCCTGGTCGTAACAGAATGAAATCAGGAACCGTGATTTGCATACCATAAACCAGTGTTATAGGTCCAAGACACAATGGTTTCCCAATGTTAATCAGCAACTACTCTGTTCTACATTCACTGACTATGACTCAAGTCCTCAGGATTTCCTACAACTTAAGTAAAAGACTTGAACTACAAGATGCCATTACAGATTATCAATCCTTCTGTATCTTGTGGTTGGCACTTCAACCAGAAGATATTCTGTAGCACTTGCCTTTATGTTTTCTTGCAGTATGGCAATTTGAATATTTATTACAACATACATATTCAAGCCTGTGGTGTGCGTACAATAAGTATACGTAGTGCATGCCATGCATCAGTGCTTGTCCTTTGAAAACATTGTTCAGATTTTAAGTAGGTGCTGCATCTGCCGCAGCCATTATCTCCTTGTATTGTTAGCCTGCAAAGGACCTAATTTTACAACATATTCCAATTTAACGCTTTTTTCTTTTATCAAGGCATCAACCCGGAATTAGCATTAGATTCCTAGATACTGAATTGTGGGTCGGCTCTAACCAGCTATGCCTTGGCCAATGAAGTTCGATGTATTGAAATAGTTTGTTGCTGAATAAATTTCTTTCATAGAAATCTTCAGAGAGCCAGAATGCTTAGAGACTGAATCATCCGATTCTGTCAGAAGACAATGAGCAATTGCTATTAGTATTCTGTTGTTAGCCTGGTTAAACTAATTTTGCAAAAAAAATAAAATAAAATAAAACTACCATCTTTCCCAGCAGGGAGGCTTTCTTCTTCCTTTTTATGAAGAAGATCCATGCAGCAATGGCTGCTATTATCATAGCTCCCACTAACCCACCAACACCAAGTAGAATCCACAAACCTATTATGATCAATAAAAAATTATACGCATGTCAAGGAATAATAATATTGTACATACTTTAAGACATCAAGACTTGGAACTCAAAGAATGGTGATGATTGCTGTTGATGAGTTGAGACTAACTTTCCTACTGATACCTTTTCTAGCTGTGCCTCCATGTTCATCTGCAAGGTAGAAAGAAGAAATTATCCAATCAAAACAAGAATTGAATCATGAAGCAGTCATATGCATAGTTATAATGTGTTGATGTTATTGCAAATTACATTAAAGAAAAAAATAATGGGATTGAGAAGTATCTGGCTATTAACTTGTATCCTGCCTAAGGAAAAAGCCCCCTCTCTGAGAAATTGAAATACCGCATAGACCAGTTCTCGTCATCAATCCTATTGCTTATCATGGGCACCATTACTGCAAATCTACATACATCAGCAGATTCCAGTTTATAGTCCGATGATCCACCAATCTCTTCCCATCTTTTCAAACATGTATTGCAAGAATGATCTGGTCTGCAACCTGTGCCTAACTCCTTACGGTCTTGTTGTGAATTTCTGAATGCTTCTCCTAGCTTATCAACAGCATCCATGAGTGTAGTCAGAACAGCGGCCAGCTCCACTTGTTAGCTTCTGAATCTCACAGCCAAATACATCTTCCTTAAATCTTTCCATCGTTGTTAAACAGTTGTTTCGTTCTTTGGAATTTAGGAAAATGGGTTTGGTCAGGTTTGCCTGACGCCCCAGAGCATAAAGGTATTCTTCAAAGGCTCCTCCACAACAATTGCCGTTGATGAAACCACCCCAGTTGCCCAATTCACAATTTGATTCTTTTGTGGAGGAAGAGTTTTTAATATAAAAAATGCAATTGCTAACTGAAGTTTGAGAAAACACAAAATCTAGAGTGGCAAACAAAACAAAGACAAATGTAATGGAGGGAAATGTTTCATGATTTACCATTTCAAATGCAGGTAAATCTACGGGAGCCTTACCCATTGAGAAAAGGGATGGACTAGGCGTGAGATGCCACAGTTATGCCATTAAAGAAACAAGGTGCATGACAATCGCTCTATTTAATTAGCATGCTTCTCAACGGGGAAGACCATTTTCTTTTTTTTTTTTTTTTACAAAAGTGGCTGTGATCAGATAATGGGAGAAGAAGAGGTCTTTTGCGACGGAATTTAAATTACAAACTTATTGAATATCACTTCTTTCAAAATAGCTACGAGTTCAAAGACCAAATCTTTTACTTCAAAGAAACGTTCTCTTCAGGTGCACTTGGAATCTGGTATCACTACGCATCCAGGGAAACCAAAAGATAACATTGGAGTTATATTTATAAATTAGACATGTCATTAAATTTTTATAGAAGAGGGAGATAGAGACAGCATTGGAATCACTTGAACTCCGGATGTACACAAGGCCAATGGCTATTAGGTGCACAATTAAAAGGTTATGTCTTTTAGCGATGGAAGTGGTTCAGGATACAGTTGGAATTGAATTGTTTGATGCCATTTGCCATTTATATCATTCTATATTGCTGATTTTGAAAAGGTTAACAAATTGTCCAAATAAAGTTTAATTTAATAGCATATTATATGATTAAAGAAATGGTGATTGCCGACTTGCATTAGAAGGTAACACAATTTTCATTGCCATTTTATTGCTGCGTACATAGTCTCCCAAAGGTGGAGAAAAATGGTGACAAACAGAAAAGATTGATACCACTTACCTATTGCTTCTAGCTTGAGATTAATTATTGGTTTAACCTAGGTATTATAAGGAACTTCCAAGCAGTTACAGACTAGAAAGAATAAGAAATTGATTTACGAGAAATGAAGTTACCAAAGAAACATGAGTTAATTTAAAGCTTGAAACAACTGCAGTCTTTGATATGGGCATAGGAAATCAGAAATTAATGCAAACGTATGGCTTTGACGGAACATAAACTTGGAATTTTCAGCCACTACAATCTTTGACCCTGAGGCCCGTAACTGGTGGATGCTGTTGAGTGTGCAGGTGGGTGGAAACAGCTATTCACCGCCAAGGACGTTGCTAGTTAATTGTTATTTGCTCAAAGAATAATAATCTACTCTTTATCCAAGAAAGGATGGAATCGATTAAAGTGATCTTGTTAAACCTTGAATATTTTATAATTTTATAATTAAATTAAGTGTTTATATATTTATCATCACTTGATTTTACGTTAAATACTTATTATAATATCAGAATATATAATTTTATTATATTATTTTTTATTTATTATTCATATCTTTTTACTTTTTTTAAATTTATAATTTGGTAAACTTTTTTGATTTTGTTTATATGGTAAGGGCGTATTAAAGTAATATTATTTTATTTATGTTAAATTTTATATTTTATATTTTCTTATATTAAATTAAAACTTTTTTTTTTATTATGCTTGATTTTAGATCAAATGCTTAATAGAATTAAATAAATCCATTTTGTATGACACATTTCTGTTTCCAATAGAATATATTTTTAGAAAGTTCAAAGCCAACAAAATTTATCCACTTGCCTTTCCACCAAGTTGCATCCAAATGAAAGTCTACTTAAAAAATTGGAACAATCACTCCAAGACCTTCATTCTTTTGACCTTGCCATCACCTATAAAGCTGGCAGTTTTGCATATTGAATTAAGCTGCAACGAGTAACCAATTTCTAGTTATTGTATTATGTTAAGGTTAAGCAATTAAGCTCCATAAATTTGCAATTTCAGGTGACATTTTGCAAAATGCAGATGGGCTCCTTTGAATTGTGCTGTAGCCTATTGGATAAACTGTTCCAAATTACCAGAAAGGTTAATTTATTTTACAACATGCATTAGCCAAAGAGAGCAGCATAAAATCTTCCTGTTGGTTACATCAATTATAAGATTTCTTAAAAATTTTGGACTATAAATGAAAAGAACTTTCAAGTGTTTATAAGTCCAAATAATTCCTCCTCTAAAACAATTGTTTTTTAACATTATTAAAGAAATCAATCCAAAGCCTTTTTAATATATATATATATATATATATATTTTATGAATGAAGCATTTTAATCTTTATTAATAAGAATCACATTGCTTCAAATGGAGGGGGCTCAAATAGGGTGGGCAAAATCACCCGAAACCGTCGGGTTTTGACCCGATCCGACCTCTTAGGATCGATTTTTTTTTTTGAAAATCGGATATCGGGTCGGGTAGAGTAAAAAAAATTTCGGGTTCGGGTCGGGGTCGGGTTTTGAGCAAACCCGACCCTGCCCGACTCGATATATATAAAAAAATTATTTTTTTAATTATTTTTTTAATTTTATATTTAATTATATATTTTTATATATATTTAATTTTATATTTATATTTAAAATAATATTTTATTAATTTCGGATCGGATTTGATTTTATACAATGTCAGATCGGATCGAATTCGAGTATTAAAAATAAAAAAATTATCGAATCAAATATGAATTCGGATATTACATATTTAAAATCGGATCGAATTCGAGACGAGAAAAACCCGCCCCGACCCGACCCGTTGCCATCACTAGGCTCAAAGAAATCAGAATTAAGTTTCATAATGGAACCCACACGACATGTGTGGCCGATTCTTATTCTGTGTCTCGGAGTGTAAACTTTTACCCAATTGAAAGTAAAAAAAAGTTATATTTAATTTATTAAAAATTTATATTTAATTTATTATTAAAATATAAATTTTATATATTATTAATAAATCAAATGATATTATTTTTTTAATAAATAAATATTAATATTTAAAATAAATATTTTTTAAAAATTTATTTATTAATAAAAATATTATTGTCTAATTTATCTTATCAATAAATAAAATAATATTATCTGATCCATTAATAATTTATAAATTTTATATATAATAATATATAAAATATAAATCCATTTATTATTGATTCTTTATAAAAAAAATTAATTATAAAAAAGGTAAATGTAATATAGTTTAAAGTAATAGAATATAAATAAAATTTATTATATTAATAATTTTATATATAATTAGTAATTATTAAAAATACATATTCGATGTTTACAATCTATTCATTGAAAAGGGTAGTTGTTTTTGTTTACTATCCTAAAAATAATATTCTCAACCAAAGTTGTGTTTATTTACTATCCTAAAAATAATGTTTGAAAAAACAATTATTAAATGCAAGAAAAGTACTAGTCTATCAATTATTGCTTCCCGTCTCCTGTAATGAAACGACATCGCATACTCTATCGCAAGAAAAATCTCTCTCTCCGGCCTTCCCAAAGATAAAAGAAGAAAAAAAGCCAAATTCAGTTCTAGCTGCATTAAAACAAAATCGCTAATGGGCTTCTCCGGCGTAACCCCGACCGACGGAGGACCCGAACCCGACTCAGAATCGGCCCTTCTCCTCCACTCCCCTCTGAGATCCGCAAAGCCAGAAGACAAATTGCACCTAGCCTACATCATCTACTTCACGTTAGGTGTCGGATACCTACTCCCGTGGAACGCCTTTATCACCGCCGTCGATTACTTCTCCTACCTCTACCCGGAAGCCTCCGTTGACCGTGTCTTCGCCGTGGTTTACATGTCCATCGGTGTCTTCTGCCTCTTGATCATAGTGTTTTATGCTCACAAGAGTGAAGCTTACGTGCGGATCAATGTTGGGTTGGGCCTGTTCGTGGTTGCCCTGCTCGTTGTGCCCGTTATGGATGCGGTTTATATAAAGGGTCGGGTCGGGTTGTATGATGGGTTTTACATTTCGGTCGGGGCTCTCGGTTTGGCGGGTATAGCGGATGCGCTTGTTCAAGGTGGGCTCATTGGGGCGGCCGGTGAATTGCCTGACCGCTACATGCAGGCTATTGTTGCAGGAACTGCCGGTTCTGGTAATTAAAAAAATATATTTTTTTGGAGTACTTGTAGATATGGTCATATGGGTGTTCAATAATTTTATTGAGCAAATGAATGGTTGGAAGTTGATTACCGTTAATCGACGTAAGGACTTTGCTTTAGAGTTTAAGCTACCTTAACTTGATGAGTAAACTTGGCAATTCCTGTATTCTTCTTGTCTAGCCAGTGTGAAACACAAATTTTCGTCTAACAATTCATGTCAAACTCAAAATACATCTTTAGTAATCCAGATTTTTCTAATATTTTAAACGGTGTGTTTTTCCCTTCTTTTTTTTTTTTTATACGGAGTACGCAAAATGCATTTCGTGTATTTTTTTTTTCTTTTATCATAGTGTCGGGATTAAAATTGCCAATTCTATTTAAAAGTCATTTTAAGGGAGGGTGCTAGTGCTCTTATAGAGCTCTAAAGGGAGATAGTAATTTTCTTTTAAGAAGAGTTAACATTAAACTTGTTCTGCTGTCAATTGCTCAATTTTCGAGGACCTTGTGCATTTGATTATTTGAAGGCTCAAAAAATGAGCTGGTTAGCTTAGCTATTGAAACCCGCCGAGTGATTTGAGTCAACTATAGCTTAATAGTCTTTATATTGTATTTGTTTTCAAGAAACGTTTGCTGTAAAAGGCTTGAAGGTTGCTCTAGTTCACCTCTGTTGCAATAAAGCTCTTGAAGCATCTGTCACTTTTCAAGGACCTTGTTGGGCCAATCCGCTTAACCCTATGAACCCTGAATCTTGAACTACTTGGAACATTTTTTGTTCTACTTTGAACGGTCTGTAGCTATACCTTTAATAATGTGTAACCCTTATTTTCTTTCGTATATTCCTGGATACAAAATTCATTGCTGTTTCTTGTTAAGTCTGATTATGGGCAGAATTGTGTGTTTCTTGTTGTTAACCTGAGCCTGAGTTGATAACTATTGCATGAGGTGCAATTTTAATTTCTTGAATTGTTGGCTGCAGGGGTCCTTGTTTCTGTGCTAAGGATCCTGACCAAAGCTGTTTTTCCGCAAGATGCTGATGGCCTGAGAAAAAGTGCCAATCTTTACTTTTCTACCAGCGTTGTGGTTATGTTCTTATGCTTAGTCTTGTACAATGTGGCACACAGACTTCCGATTATGAAGTACTATGGGGAGTTGAAGATTGAGGCTATTAAGGAGGAGAAAGAAGGGAAACGTCCCCTGACCGGTCCTGTTTGGAGAGCAACCTTATGGAATATAGTAGGGACAATCAAGTGGTATGGATTTGGGATCGTCCTCTTATACGTTGTGACTTTGTCTATATTTCCAGGATATATCACAGAGGATGTGCACTCATTGATTCTCAAGGACTGGTATCCAGTCCTACTTATTACGGCCTACAATGTGTTTGACCTGGTTGGCAAATCGTTGACTGCAGTTTATCTCCTTGAAAATGCAAAGGTTGCAATTGCTGGTTGCGTTGTGAGGTTACTGTTCTTTCCCCTCTGTATAGGTTGTTTGCATGGTCCTCAGTTCTTCCGGACAGAGATTCCCGTCTCCATACTGACTTGCCTTCTAGGGCTAACTAATGGATACTTGACGAGTGTGTTAATGATCATGGCTCCCAAATCTGTTCAGATACAACATGCAGAGACTGCTGGCACTGTTATGGTATTATTTCTAGTTGTTGGTCTAGCATCAGGATCAGTCATAGCTTGGTTCTGGGTCATCTGATATTCAAGCATTTTTTTTCTTACATTAGCCAGATCCCCGAACTGGTGGTTGGCGTGGATGATCTTTAATGATGTCTTTACATTTCCTAAAGCTGTCTAAACTTCATTGTTTTTTCAGATTGTATGATGAATCCTGTACGTAAACTGTGCATGCCAATTGAAAAAAAAAAAAAAGAATATTTGATTGATACCTAGTTTCAGTTTTATGATGAATGCAGCAAATATTTTTGTGAAAATGAAGATTCTATGCAAATTAGATATTATACCCTGGGCTGTAGGTTGTACTTAATCGGCATTTCAATCCTACTCAGAAATTCCTATGATTCTTTTTTTCTTTTTTTTTTTTGTAATGTGATTTTTACTTTGAACAACGAAGACAAATGACAATGAGCTATAATAACCTGGAATAAGCCGTAGCATATGTTGAACAAATGAAATGTGAAACGAGGTCTGGCTATTGATGTTGTAAAATGCCGATTATTTGTATATTTATGTGGCGTTTTACATAAAATTAATGTACTATCATCTGAGTCAAATAACTTTTATTAAAATTTTAGACCTTATAAAATTTTATTTTTTATATTATTTTCTGTCACCATTTTTAAGTTTAGCATTTTCTCTATAAAAAAAAACTAGAATTAAGATTGACAACGAGTCGGGTTAGGATTAATTTTTGTTCGTCTCAAACTCAATTCGATTTTATAATTATAAAATTTGAATTTAAATCTGATCCAATTTTATATAAATCGTACTCGATTCGACTTAAAATTAATAAAATATTATTTTTTAAATATAAAATATTATTTTAAAAATATAAATATATAAATATATATTAAAATTTTAAAAATAATTTTTTATATAATATTAAATCGAATTGAATTTATTTAAATCGAATCTAATTATTTTTTAATAATATTTACTTAAAATCTGATTTAAAAAAAAATAATCTTAAAAAATTAAATCAGATCAAAATTCGTTGATTGCGGGTTAGACTGTCTAACTCTGACTAAAATTGCTAGTACAACGTATGTGTTTCTCTTGAAAAAGGTTAAGATAACGATGATAAAAACAAATGAATTTAAGGACAAGCAAAGAACTTATTTTTCTGAAAACAGTCCAGTTGTATTACTGAAGTGCGTTACACTAAGATTGGATCATGACCTGGATGATGGATGGACAGTCTCCAAACCATGTTTCTAAGACAATATGCAAAGCACGCTTAGCTAGACAATGGGCAACGCCATTAGCTTTTCTCCTCACATGTCCTACCTTAAGTTTCTGAAAAGGCTACCTATGGCCCTCACATCTTATAGGATATGTCCCACATTTGGCATGTCTTCCTGTACTTGTCCACATCCCTTTATGACATCATGGCATTTCCCTCGAGGAAAACACGTTCTAGCCTTAATGAATTTGCCACTTCCACCGCCCTGGCCGCAGCTAAAGCCTCGACAATGCATGGGTCCTTCACATGTTCCACGTTTGCAGCTACAGCACCGAGGAAATGTCCTCTTTCATCCCTCACTACCACCCCAATTCCCTCTTTACCAGCATTTATATTCAAGGCCCCATCAAAATTAAGTTTCGTACATCCTCGTGGTGGTGCCTCCTACAGCACTTCACGTTCTGACGGCCTTGTTTGCTGAGTTTCGTTTGCCCTCCTATAATCGCATAGGTAGTTTCGGGCAAACTGGGCAACCATTTTTGCATCACGGGTTATGCCCTGTCTTACTGCTTGGTTCCTAGCATTCCATATTGCCCAGCCAAGCACCAGGCCATTTTCCAAGCTTTCCATGTCCATTGTATCTGCTATCTTCTCGACCCAGCCACTATTTGCTAACAGGATTATGTTCCTCATACTGAGGTGCATCAGCCTTATCCCACACTGACTTGGTGTCATGGTCAGGCCTTGGTATGCTTCGATTTTGTCATGATTGACCTTGAGTTGAGCAACGATTGAGGTCAGATTGATAGGATGGTGGTCTTGGAGCATACGTGCATGTAGTGTTAGCCTTAGGCCATAAGATGCGCAGGCAAGTTTGAGTTAGTGGATAGGCACCCTTGAGCTAGGCAGCCAGTCAAGTGCCATTCGTCGAAGATGTGTGCGAGCATTTTGAGTATAAGAACATGTCGTTGATATTATGGGTGGACAGTGTGAGTCATAGGTCCCAAGATATGTGGGCAAGTGCTAGGTAGTGGGCGGGCGTCTTGGGGCCAGTTAACCAATTGGGTACTATTGGTTGAAGTCGTGTGCGGGCACCTTCGAGTGGGTTGATGGAGCAACAACCAGAATCATAAAATTATGGGGAACAACAAGAAGGTCACAAGGCCTTAAGTTAGCTGGAGAAAGGCCTGATATGGTTGAGGAGAAAAGTGTCCTCATTTTAGACAATCTTACAGTTCTTGGTAGGAGACTGAAAAAATCTTTTACGCTTTTTATAAGGGGATGTCTGGTGTCAACTCTCCACCACCCCCTTGGTTAGTGGGCATACAGGGGCCTTGCTAGTCTAAAATGAGTTAGTCCTAGGCACAAGTGGTATCTAGGTGGCGGGCATCATAGGGTCACAAGTGTGGCACAGTGTCTCATTGGGTCATGGTAAACCAAGAGATAGTTAGGGCTGACAGGCCTCGTATCGTGCCTTCGCATTGAGTCTTATGGTTAGGCGATAACATTCACTATGCCCCTCGATTTCTTTTCATTGAGTCGGAAGGATCATAAGATGGTGTTTGCATAGGAGAGGTACCATCGAGCTTGAAAGATGAGCAAGATAGCAGGCAGGCACGCTGTTGGACCCTTGTGGCCAATTGGTAAAGGGATGCTGCAACTGAAGCAGCACACCCAAATCTTTCATGCGGGACTAGCATGATATTGGGTGTCAATCATACGTGCAGGCAACCTAAATCGAGGCTAAGGGCTTAGGCCCTAAGAGTCGAGTTTCGTGGATTGAGATGAGCCTCTAGGTTTCGAGCGGCTGTTGACCAGCATATGTGTTGTGCCTACGGGATTTTAGCATGAAAGCTTGCATACGATGCGGGCGAGCATGGTGTTGGGTTCTTGCCATGCTAGAAAGTAATAATATCATGAGAATCGAGACTGTGCGCTTTTATGAGAATAAAAAGGTCGATGCTTAAGACCTTAAGCTCTACAGGCTGAAATGGGTGCTCAAGGCCACAGTGAAAATCTTAGACTAATGTGTTGATTGGAGTTAGGTTCCTTCCTATCAAATTTGAAAATGTGCGACCTTATGGGGTCCGAGCCAGGAAAGGCTTACTAATGTGTAGCTTGAAGGATCTATATCAAGCTGTCCCTAAGAAAATGGACTCGAGAAAAGCTGACCTTGACCATAAGTAGTCTTGGTGCTGTATAGACAGTAGTTTCAAAATAAGAAACACACGACTCATGACATTATGGTATCAGAGCCATGTTTGGCTCAATGGTGGGTTAACGTGGCCCCAAGTGTGGGCATGATAACATGAAATTGAAGCAGTACTATGCTAAAAAAAACTATACGAATGTGGTTTTGTGGCTATGAAGGCTCGGGAATGAACCAATAAGGTATGTTGTGGGAAAAAAATTGGCCTAGTTGAAGGGCCATCGAGTAGACTCTTAGATGCCAAGCAAAAGGGCACATAAGTCTAACCTCACTTAAAAAAGGTGTTGGCATATACGGGCTTGTAATGCTCTTACGGTGGAAGAAACCATGGTGAGACTGATATGTGAAAGGGGCATACACCATGAAATGGTGCTGAGTAAGGCCATATAGGCCAAAGCGAGTTTTGTCTTGAGGGACATGAGTCATTGGTATTGAGATTAGTTATTAATATGTGCATTTGTTGTATGGCGCATGTGCCCTAGCGAGGGTATGAGCTGAGTATTTAGGTTCAAGTGTGGAGCCATTCTATAGAGGCAATTGAGTTGTGATGGTTAGTGGATCGAGTTCTCATGGTTAGACGATCACGTGAGTGTGTCGATCATTGGATCGTACTTTAAGTTGGCTGAAAAAAGTGGCGTTATGAGTGGTGGTGGTTAGCGAGCCACAATAATGTGTAGTTCTATGGAACAATCAACAGGGAATTGGCTAATTGACAAGGCCTTGAGATGTGTGGGTCAGAGGATCAATTGAGTTGAGTATACCGAAGGTATAGGCATTTGAGTTATGCATCCGATCAGTGGACTGGATGAATTTGAGCAGGGTAAAGGATAAGCTAATTGAGATTGAGCAAAATGCAAGCCTAAGGGATGGTTTTGAGTTTAAGTAGGTCAGTGGACCTTGAGAATTGAGTGGGTTTGTGAATCTTTGAGTCAAACAAGTTAGTGGACAAGGTGATTGGTTGGATCACTGGATCTTTGGGTATTGAATGGGCTTTGAGATGCCTTATAAGCTATGCCAAAGTCAAGGTAGTTGAGTTGTGAAACCATTAAAAAGACGTGGTTGCGTACAGAACTGAGTCGTGTTTGAGTAAAAATGGGGAATAAGGGTGTTTTCCCCATGAAATTGAGTCAAGACAGTAAAGCCTATGAGTTTGTTAAGAACTGTGGTTAAATTTGAGATAGAGAACAAGATAGCGTGCATTAAGGTGTCGTTACAAGGGCGATTGACTAGAGGGCCACACCTGGATAGGTGACTTTGGAAGAGCCGAAAAAATTCAAATTGTGAAATGATCGAAGTGTTTGAATGCTACCATGATATCACGTGTGGTGCCGTATGAGTTCAGTTAACCTAAGCACCCCAACCAGAGAAGCGCACCAATGAGTGGCAAAGCAGGCAGTCATTCATTCTATTGAGGGTCATGATCAATAAAGGTGCCTCGAGGTCGTAACATGATGTGATCATGGGTGAAATAGTGTTATGGCACATATTGAGTAATTAAGATAGAGTCTAATGATCCGAGATGGAAACAGAGCACAGGTACATTAAAGTTAGGATGAGACCCATCTACATCGGTAATGGACGAGTACTGTGGGTAGTGCCCCATGTGACGAGATCTTGATCCAATCCTTGAGGGCATAAGTGAGAGACATATGGGTAATTGTCAACTATGTGCAACAAGAGAGTTGGGTGTGGTTTTGGCTTCAATGAGGGCATCGACATAGTAAGTGAGGGAGAGTGTCATGGTCAGGCCTTGGTGTGCCTCGATCTTACTATGACTGACCCTGAGTTGAGCAGCGGTTGAGGCCAAGTTGGCGAGATAGTGGTCCTGAAGCATAC